TAAAAAATAAAATTTATACCACCCAGTATTCTGATGTACATGGTTACAACACTATACATAAACACAGTTTGTATGTACAATTTTGTAATACTGAGTGTAGCAAGAGAAGGGTGATTAGTATGGGAACCAAAATATTTAATGGCCTTCCAATTGAATTAAAGAATATAATAAATTTTAATGTTTTCAAGAAGAAACTTAAGAATTATTTGTTGTGTAATGTCTTCTATTCTCTTCAAGAATTTTTTAGTAATTGTTGACATGGACTGGTTGTTGATAAATCTGTCTGTCTATTTTTCTGTTTTTTTTTTTAAGTATTTACTATTATTAATAATTGTTGACTTAGACTGCTTATTAATAAATCTGTCTATATGTTTAAAATATTTATTCTTATGTCTCTTTCGGAGTTTTTATTATTCTTAAATTAAGTTAAAAAATTACTCTGAAATATATTGCTATATTATAGTGATTAATCACTGTGTGAATGTTATGTTATTTTTGATGTGAAGTTGTTATTATTTGACATGTCCAATTGTAATTCTCTACAGCTCTGGATGAAATAAGTAATAATAATCTGAATGGCATACTTCATAAATCCCTCCCAATAGTCTGCTTGTTAATTTGAGTAACCTTGTTAATAGGCAGTGGCTCAGTAAAAACTTTACTGCAATAACAAATACACATCCCACAGTATAAGAACTGTAGGATGTGTCATTTTCTACGTGGTCCAAGTTGTATCAAAGAAAAGCAGATGACTGGTTCTTCCCAGAACTTTGTGTTTGAGATGTCAGCCTCTGGTAGTGTGCTTGTTTGCATTGAGTTAAGGCATTATTTTAACACATTATTAAAAGAAGTTGTGTAATGCATAGACGTTTTCAGTTCAAACTTTGCTTTGCAGATATGCAAAGATGCGCGGTGAAGGGTTAAGTATCGATATTAACCAGGTCTTTTGATTATGACAAAACCAGTATTATAGGTGCCTTTTAGGAGCAGTGAACTTTAACATGTAAAGTGACTATGATCTTGTCTTAAATGGAGGAGTTTAACACTGAGGTTATTGATTTTGAATCATTGAATTTCAACATTAAATTAGGGAAACAAATCAAGGAACATTACATGGGACTTCCCTTTTATTTAATTAGGATTTAAAGACATCTTTTATATCTTGATAATGATTTGAATTTCTTTCTTTTTGTTTTT